GGGGGGGGTAAGTCGCTCTCGGGGGGAGGGGAGGAGGGGGGATGCCTATATTCTACGTGCACGCGCGATTAACCCCTCTGATGCGCCTTGGGGTTTAAAGTCGTTTGAATATACCTTTTGTATAATTATACAACTACCGCATGCATATAGTTTTAGAGACATTATATATATTCCTGGAAATTCTGTTTCACTCTAATTTATCAGATTACATGTAATATGAAGTTTATTTGCGTTAGTTTAGATGTAATAAGATATAATATGGATATTCGAGTCTTTAAAAGAGGAAAATTTAAATATATATGTGAAAAAATATAAAACTGTAAAAATAATCAGATACTATAAAGCCTGTTGTTCTTCTTGGCTGAACTTCTCGTACGGTTCGTCTTTTCTCTTTTTCCCTTCAACGTGCAAGAACTTTAACTAAAAAGAACAGACTTTATGTAGGAATAAGAAAACAATGAGAGCATTTAAGGATCGAAACATTGCTTCTGATAAACACTGGGCTCTTACGAAATGCAATGGCATTTTCACTCTGTTTTATTAATGTTGTTTTCTTGTGATCTGAATGTACTTGTGAATCGAAGGGCGATTGGAGTCGTTACCAAATCGATTATATGATTATATCGCGAAACGAGGTCGCTACTTCAACATGCCTGCGAACACAGCGGAAACCGTTTTGAAACACTGTCGTGTTTTACGAACGCGCGAGAGAGCACGATTTTGCATGCGAGCCGCTAAATGTTACGAGTATAATGGTTAATAGACGGGTTAATGGTTAATAAACTAGATTGTCGTTATTTTGCGCGCCGGGCATACTTTCTCTGTTTAGCCCCTTAGCGTTGGGATTATTTTGTAAAACGAGGAGAACATTTTGCTGCGGATCCGTTAAATAATTCCATTTTCCATAGTTACATGTGTTTTCTCCGCTGAACAGAAATTTTATGAGCGTAAAAAATACAGAGAAGTTGTTTCATTGAAACACATGCGTTGTATCTGAACATATAAAAGTGTCGGCTGCTTGTAGAAATTGCAAAAAAAAAAAAAAGAATCGAAATAACGGAACTTAAAAGATCGTGTCACTTTCAATATTTGTTTACAACTACTTTTCCTCATACTTTTCTCACAAATCACAATTCAGATTTAGAAAGACAGTTGCATCGACATAAATACATTTTTATTCGAAATTAAATATAAATAAGTACACTGAGAAAAAAAATATCCTAAATTCCAATAAATATTTATTTGAATAGTTACCAACTAAATATTCATTAACAAATATATTTATATGGTACAAAAAACATTAATTTGATCACTTCTTTTTATTAAGTAAATATTTATTGTAAATAAATGTTTAGTTGGCAGTATTCCAATAAATATTTATTTAAATTTAATCTATTTTCATCTCAGTGAATATATAAATTATCGACTTCAGATTAGAGAGTTGTTTAGATTTTCGAAACGGTGCTCGAATGCGTTTTAAAGGATACGTACTTCGTGTATGTGAATTTTAGACTAAGGTAGACATTTTCACACATAACCAATCGTCTCGCGCTTAGAGCGATCGTCAATAGTGGAAAAACATTGTTACTACGATTCAGTTACGTTTGAAAACGTGACACGTTCCGCAAACTCGAGGTAAACACCGTATACGGGATCCACGTTACCTAGCTTGGCCAACAACAGGTAGAAAAGCGGAGGATTGTATTCCTTTTTTTTTTTATCCAATGGCCGAAGAATTATCACACTTCCTATCTAGCAATATGTTCATTGTCGGCGTGCGATAACGATCGGTTCGCTCGTCGAGATATTCGTGATGTGACCACGTCACGAAAATTCATTTCTCGCCGACCGATCTCTCGAGTATTTATGACCGTTTTCTGCATCCATTACATGAATTTATCGGAATTTAATCGACAGTTTTTAGTCAATATGACATGAATATGATGCGTGCATTGTCTTCTTACAACGAGAAAATTTACTAAATCTTAATACATGTTCCTTTGAACAGTGCTAAGTGAACATTTACTTATCGTAAATGAATATTTACTCAATAGAAAAATGACGTTACATCAATGATTTTTGTCAAATAAATATATGTTTATATATTTAATACATATTTACTTAAAACTTATATATTTACTTCAAACAAATATTTATTAAAATTTAGTATTTTTTTTTGTTTAGTGTATACGAAAAGGATGGATTTGCTAAAATATTTCAAAATTTAGCTACAAGATACAGATCTGAAAATAATTTTGTTGGACCATCAAAATAATTACGTAGGACTAATTAAAAAATTAATTACTAAAATGTCAATACTTTTTGCAGCATTGCTCATATTTGAGATTTCTACGTAATTATTTTAACGCTCCAACAAAATTACATTTTCAGATCTGTACTTTGCTAAATTTATAAATAATTCAGCAAAATCGCTCTTTCCATGTATCTCATGTATAAAATATTATTAAGATTGACTTCAAAAAGTCAACGACAACATAACATTAAATAACATGAAATAAGATTATTATATTTTGACAAATATAATAATGGAATATATTACTAAGATCATGCAAAAATTCGATCGTTTTCTCGATCTGTACTTTATTACAGATATACAACTCATCGCTATCAGCTAGGAATACAAAATTTACGATAACGATCGTGAAAGAAAATTGCTGATAATATGATCTTAATCTCGAAGAAAATATAGAAGGGAGACTTTACTACCCCAAAATGCAAAGAGAATAAGACGAGATGGACGTACGGTAACCCTAAACCGCTCGATAGAATGGCCTCGCGAGGAACCGTTTTGACATTTGATGGATTACGTAACGGAACGAGGAAGAAAATCCTCTCGCCAGCCGCGAGGGAGTAAGAAGAAACGGTACGATCCATCGCGTCGCGTCGCGGCGAGTGTTTGCCCGCGTAAAATATTTGCGCGTAGAGCCGAGATCAAACACGTCGCGTCCTGTCATTTTCCGTGTGGCTACACGCCGCGCGTATTTGCGCGCCGCGCTAGGCCGAAGTTCTTCGGCGCGTTGCGACGCGTGCGAAAAACTTTACGCTCGCGCTCGCCTGTGCACACACGCGTATTACCTATGTACACACGCGGACGTATCGCGTGTCGCTGGCCGACCTTCGCCACCACGAAATTTCTTTGCACAGCCATCGACTACTTCCCTCCTCGGACACGAGTGTTTCTCTCTTTAAAAGAAACCGACCGTAAAATGTCAGGTTTCCTTCGTTACCCCTCCCTCTGTTTTTAACGTTAATTATTTTATATTATTCAATATTGTGTCTCATGATACAATTTACAAGCCAAGAAATACGATGCAAACAAATTCGAACTAATCCGATTGAACGTGTGAAACCTTTAAATCTTAGGAAACAAAACGGATATCAATTGGCGTTAACCACCAATTACACGTATCGTAACAATTGAAAATTTTAATGGACGATGCATTAATTGTAAGAATGCGCATCAGCCCGATTGAATCAATCAATTCGTAAGGGGAAAAAAATGGAAGGAATTTCGAAGGGAATCCAAAGAAGGGGTTCATTAAACGCAGTTACCCTATCGATCACCCGAGTGGAGTGCTCTCGAACCGTTTGACAATTTTTTCAATTTCCCACAATAAAACGTGACGCAACGGCGAGCGCGAGGGAGCGCGAGGAGAGGCGTTAGAATCGGAATCCGCGGTTGAAGGAACGAGAGAGGCGAATTAATGCCTTTCACCGTGATACCGATCGTTAATACCTCGCCGTATAACGCGAAGTCTCCGTGGAGTATCGCGGGATTAGTCCCATGGTTCCCGTCCACGGTCTCGTGTAACGGGTCGCGTATATGACGCAGTTCCACGAAATCTCTGGCCGCGCGATATATCTACAGAGGCTACCTCGGGGCGTCACAGATTAACGCTGGGTTATCGCGATACCAGCTCCTGATACTCGCGATCCGTAGAGACAGGCTCGCGATAGCGAGACTCTTGCCGTCATTGCATGAAAAACAAATCGCGCGTTAAAACGCGCACAAGTTCTTCAGTTAACAATTTTTTCCCTTTGCGTGCGAAAACCTTCACCCTGGCTGCACCCAGGTATTTTATCCTTGTTGTTCAGCAAATAAAAATTAAACACCTCTAGGGTGTCACGTCAAGTCGGAGAAAGTCAAAATAATTTCTATTAACGAATTAAAATAATAATTTTTCGTTACGCGAAATTTAATTGTTTATCGACACCAAGAATCGAAATAAAGTCATTTTCATTTTCTGTCGACTTTTATATGTTCCTTGGGACTCGGGTAGAACAGAGAGTCCTAATTAAATCGTATAACGATAATCGTAAGACATCGTGTCATTTGATATTTAAAAATGAGCTGATAAAGCGACGAACAAGGTCACGATGATGTCCCTACGATATTATTACGGCTTCTGTGTTCTACGCGAGAAGGATAAAGCGTTACCTGGGTGAAATATTTGAACGCGGCCAAGGAATTTACGCCTCCGGGGGCATCGTCAGCGTTACGAGAGACGCGAGTCGCAGGGTGATATACGACTTGGACTCACCTAGAGCACACTCCGGAATCGCTCAGCTCCGAAATCAGTGGCGACCGCAAGAACTCAACTCCCCGTAGCCCCGACACTTGCACATACAACACACGGTATCCCGGCGACTTTGCGAGGATTGAAGAAAGGGGCACGACGGTCACGACGACGGCGACGTCGACGAACGGATACGGCGACGATACGGGGAACGTCGGCACAGGGACGTGTCGTTGAGGCTCTCCCTCAGAAGGGCCGTGGCGAACGGTGCCGACGCGATTCCGCCGAACAGTTCGTCACGGTCGATAGAGGTGCACGGACGAAAGCAAGCGCCATTTTATCCCGTGCACTCCGCGGCAACGCGAAAGGTGGACGGACGGCGCGGTGCACCGCGCGCGCGGAGACGCGACGGGGAGGGAGAGCGTTATACGCGCTCCTCTCTCGCGCTGTCTCTCGCGCTCTCACGCTCGCCACCTCTCTCTCTCTCTCTCTCTCTCTCTCCCTTACACGTTACTCCGTGTACCGACGCGAGTCGCGAATCGCTGCGCCGTATATACTACGTATATACGATCACCCGAAGAATTCACCCGGATAGTCCACGCCGCACGATCGGATATCAACGACACGTAACGACGTTCGACGCGCACTGGATTATCACCACTTTCACACTGCAGACTATTTCACTGCCGAGTGAATCCCGGCGCGACGTATACGGGACACCTTCGGAGCGCGCTTCGCGTTCCCGACTCCGGTTCCGATTCTCCGACGAAAAAGGAAAACAGAAACTGTGCTACGTTACATCTACCCCGTTCGGATGTGTTTGTTTATCGGAGTCGCACTACGCAGTTTTTCATTCTCACGCGGCACAGTGTGTGCGTGTGCTTCGGTCTTTCCTATCCCCGCTTTCTTTCTACCGATGTTCTTTCTTTCTTTTTCTTCTTTTTGTTCAGTTTCTATTCCGCGAGACGCAAAGACGGGACGACACGTCGACACGAGCGCGACCGTCGTGCGCTGCGAGAGGGCACGAACTGAGCGCCGAGTGGCAGCGGCGGAGCGGTGGAGGTTGCCCGGCTGGTTTCGCCGCGTACCGCTATTCGGCCGTCTTACACTAGCGCCGCCATCCGAGCTGCACCCTCGCCGCGCCGGCCATTTTCTCTTCTCCTCTCTCCGGCGCGGCGTTCTCGCACTTTCCCCTCTCTCCCCGCGCGCCGCCCGTCGCCCCGTGGCCCCGCATACATTCGTTGAGTGCGCGGTGCGCCGTGCGCGTCGTCGAGCATCGTCGAGCGTCGTCGAGCGTCGCGACGCCGTCCCGATGGTGGAGAGATCTCTCGCGCGACGTGGAGCCTCGTGCTCCGGGAAAGAGTCGGCGTTACTCGACGACGACGGGGACACGGCGATGATGTCGTATCTGCTATTTTGCGAGATCATGGAGAACGGCGGCGAGGTCATTGATTTTTTGAGCCCGTCAAGTGTAATCCGCGCACATGCGCAATAATGCCGACGGCGTGACACCGGTCGTTCTCTCGGTACTCATCCGGAATGTCCCAGGCCACACGAATATATCCCCGCCGCTGACTTTCGCCGCCGGCACCCGCGATCTCGAGCCGTACGAAATCTGCTAGTTTCTGCGACACCCCCGCAATCCCATCCCAATTTGGCCCTCGATGACAGATGAGTGTCCGAAAAAACTGTTCCCTCGATTAGTGATTGATATTTTGTACAATTTATATTTTGTACTCCTTCACTTCAAATATCATACAATCCAAAAAATTAATTTTTTTCAATGAAACGAAAAACTATTTTTTAAATCGAGGGGAAATTATTATACTAATCACAAATAATAATAATCTCGACAAAGGGATTATATTTTTAATACGTCATGTTGCCATTTTTGTTCCACAATTTTTGAAAAAGAGATTGAATAATATTTATAGATATAATTTAATTTGAATTTCGATTTAGAAAAATGAATGGCAAACTGGTAAATATTATGAGAAGTGTTTTTGTAATAAATAAATGCGATTTAAAATTGTAACACCGATAGATTAAGAATTGAAGAAAACGTTCGAGATACATTTCAACCTGATTCCTAATCTTTCATCTCATAAAATCGAAAACTGTGAGAATTGCATTCTATATTCAAATCGAGCGACAAGAAAAAAGCGCAAGATTTGCACTTTGAACGAAAAAAATCGAAAGGAGGGATCAAACGCAGCGATGTTATCGATTTTGCTTATCTGTATGATCGTGTCGATATTATCGCCTCTATCGCCTCTATGGATGTCGACTAACTTCATCGGAAAAAAAAACGTCGAAAAAAGCGAGCCTTACCTTATCGCTTTTTGAGTAAGCAGATTAGAAACACGTCAACCGTTTGAAAAATGAATCCACTCGAGACTTGATGCATAATGAGAAGACACGAAATTTCGATCATCAGGGCTGTTCCCATCTTTTTCTCTCTCTTTCTTTTTCTCTCTCTTTCTCTCTCTCTCTCTCTCTCTCTCTCTCTCTCTCTCTCTCTCTAACTGAATTACAATTTCCGATAACAGAAAGATTAGCGATCTCCATCGATCCACCCCGATGCCTATATTCGTCGGGCGCGCCGGAAGCATTAAATTAGTTGCAATAATTACGGCAGATACGGCAAGGAAAATTGTAATCGTCGCGGACGATACGAGTTATGGTTATTAGAAACTCGTAAACGTTAGATAGTAATAGCTCAAGCGATCGATATAAGTCTCGAGGAAAGACATACGATAGTTTAAGCAGAATCGCGAATCTTAGTGATTAACGATTCTTGCGAGACACACATATATATTACATAGATATATCGTTAAATGATAATGTTCTAGGCAATCTATATAAAAATTTTATCTATTCCGCAATAAAATGTTTACTCGACCTCATTCTACTTTGTTTCAAATCGAGTTGTCAGTAAATCGACAGGATTTGCGAAAAATGAAAAAATTATATGTACAATCAAATATCATTTGTGTTTTCTAATAAAATATATTAATTAGATTATACTATGAAAAATATATGCTGCATTGAATAACTGTAAAAAAATGGTCTTTTTCTTTTATTGCTTATAATTTATAATATATTGAAAGAATCTCTGCATATTGCTTTCTTGCAACATACAATATTTAATCCTGGAAGAAGATAGGGAGGTGAAATGTAAATCCCAAAATGTAATAAAAGAATATTGGAAAAGAAGAAAGAAAATGAAAAGAAAAAAATATATCTTAATATTAAAAATTTTTCCCTACTGTGTTGTAGATATAAATGTATTTTTATTTCATATAAATATATATCATATAAATATATAGATAAATCATAAATATTTTGATTTTCAATTTTATTATCCATAAAATATGAATATTATGATATTGAATTAAAATTGAAGAGGTATTGTGTTCTGATAAAAGAATGTATCATATTTGATTAAATATATTTGTTCTAGTTTTATTTTACTTCTTTCTTTTTTTTTTATTTCTTATTATTCCAACTATTAAGTCAAAATTATAATACATTGATAACAAAATTTCATAAATGACATTACTAATAGATATATTTATTTTATTCTGTCATAACAGTTTTAAATGTACTTCTTGACAATTTCTTCAGAATATTTGTATAAACAAAAATGCTCCAGGATTAATTATTGCTTCTGGTTTAGTCTATCTTATCCATTTAAGATAACGAATTTATGTAATATCATATTTTTTCATTATTAAGTTGATACAT